CGCCGCAAAGCAACGAAAAGAAACCCCCGTGGCGTGTCTCGAAACTGGGTCGGCCCAGCTCCGCTACCATGAAAATTTTCCTCGATATTCAAACGCCTGCATCATAGCAACATGACTGGACATGCACGTGACAACCGTGAGGCGAAACATTAACGTGGAAAACAAACTGACATGTCGTGAAAACGGTTTCCCATCACAAAAGGAAAACAGGTACAAAAGGAGTGAAATTTCAATCATCCTTCGCAGCCAGTTCCTTTTCCTGTGCTTCCTTCGCAGCCAGTTCCTTCTCCTGTGCTTCCTTCGCAGCCAGTTCCTTCTCCTGTGTTTCCTTCGCAGCCTTTGCAGCCTGTTCCTTCTCCTGTGCAGCCTGAAGTTCCCTGGCCATTTGTGCTTCCTTCCCTTTCTGGATTTCCGCGTCGATTTCGGCTTGCAACGCTAAAACCTTTGCTTCCGCTGCCAACTTTGCTTCAAACTCTTTCCCCTCGCGCACCAGACGCGCCGTTTCCTTGGCAGCCTTGTCCTTGGCCGCTTCCTCCGCCAGCCAAGCGGCTTCCTTGAGTGCCTCCTTTCCCCTTTCCTCCACCGCCGCTGCCTCCAGCTCTTTGGCTTGCCGAGCTGCTTCCTGCGCGGCTCTTGCCTGGGCGCTGTCCCGTTCTTTTTGCGCTTGCAGTGCCTGTTCGACGGCCAGCTTCACTGCTTTCTCCTGTCCAAGTTGGGCCTCTTTTGCAGCTTTCTCGAGAGCCTCAGCGACTGCCCTTGCTTGAAGGGCGCTGACCTCGTCAGCACGAACCACAGCTTCGACTTTAGGCTTTGCTTCGCCTTCCCGCTCTGTAGAGGCTTCCGTAGTCGCCCTTTCCTCCACGGCCGTTTCCGAAGCAGGCTTCTCCGCTTGCTGCCTGCTTTGCCGTGCACCGCGTGCTGTTAGCAAAGACCTTAAATTTCGCATCGGTCACAACCATGGAATCGTACAGAAACGATCGACAACATACAAGCACAAGTACTTGTCTGCAGCCTAGTCAAAACATTCCGGCGCAATCCTTTCTCGATCTGCCAACAAGACACACTCTGGCACGAACCTGAGCACACGTTTGCGTCCACAGCCGCAGCACGAGTGACTGCCGTTGCCTTACTTAAGGCAAATCAAATACGCTTCAATTCCTGGCCTCGGTGGAAATTGCACATCAAATACAACCTCTGTATATTGACCTATATATGTACAAGGTATAGCATGATGTGTCAATAGTGTAGCATGGGTATCTTTGATATGTACGATTAATACAGGCAGCAGCAGCAGCAGCAGCAGCAGCAGCAGCAGCAGCAGCAGCAGCAGCAGCAGCAGCAGCAGCAGCAGCAGCAGCAGCAGCAGCAGGTGTGTTGTTTCGGGTCGCATCACATCAGCAGCTCTTAGCATTTTCCTGCAGTAGTTGGGCACCCCGCCCCCAATGGTAGTGCTCCCCAATTTGTCTGCCAGCGGTAGTGCTCGGCAGTTGTTGTTTGTACTTTGGTCGTGCGATAGCCCCTCGGTGGTGTTGCTCCGCATTTTTGTGCTTTGCTAGCTATAGTGGAGTGGCCCCCCCAGCGCGCGGTGGAGCTCGGCATTTTTTTGTTGGCACTTTCTTGGCGTGGGTTGGACCAGGTGGTAGCACTCGGCATTTTGTATTTAGTGCTGCCAATTCTTGTACTTTTTGCGTTGGAGCAGGGATGTTCAGCATATGTAAGCATGACTTGCACTTGAAGGCTTTTGGATTCAAGAAAAGGAGTGCCTCCGCTTTCGGGGGTTACGAGCCCAACGTATCTCGGTGTAAGCCGTTGGTGAGCTCCCATAGAATCTGGTGGTGCAGCCCCTGTGAGTGTCCCGGAGATGGACGGGGAACACACTACGGATGGCGACGTTGGGGGTTTGCCGGCGGTGGAGTCGGGTGCAGTGGCGGAGGATTCGCGGCTCATGGAGGCCAGGGTCGACGACGAAGTTCGTGAACCGGGCTATGGCGCTGAGGAGGAGTTAGGGCAGCAGGGTGAGGCGCACGGAAGCCACCGAAGCCACGGTGGGACTCAGGCGTCTTTGGAGCCTGCGGTTCCACCCTCTGGCGGGCAGCGACCTGTGCCTGTTGCTCTAAGCGAAGTACCAGAGGCTGGGCCCTTCAGCATGCGAGAAGAGAGGTCAGGCTCAGTGGAGCGACGTTCGGAAGAAGTGAGCCAAGTGGCGAGATCGCTGGCTTTTATGACCAATTTGGTTACCACTTTGGTTGGTCGTATGGACAGGGTGGAGCAGAGCCAATCCCGAGGCGGATCTACGGGGACAGGAGAGAGAAGGACCACGGCTACTGAAAGACCGCTGGAGACGCCCATGGGTGGACCCCTGTGTCAAACCCAGGGAAGATACTCATGGAAGGCACCTGCGGCATACTCATGGACGGCACCTGCGGCGTACTCATGGAAGGCACCTGCGGCATACTCATGGACGGCACCTGCGGCATAGTCATGGAAGGCACCTGTGGCATACTCAGGGAAGGCACCTGTGGCATACTCAGGGAAGACACCGGCAACGGCTGAGACGACAAAGGCAACACCGCGTTCCCCTGTGCCAAGCCTTGAGGATATCCCTGCAGCACAATTTGGCTCGAAGGTATAGCCAAAGGACCCAGCAAAGAACCTGGATAACCTCTTCCTTGCAGATTTCTCGCACGCGCTGTTTCACTGCTGTCCGAACTGAAAGTTCCAGCAAAGATCCTGTCCATCGTCGCCAGCGGGCGGTCTGCTGTAGGCTCTCCAGCATCCAAATGCAAGCGCCCCATCTGCACACCAAGCCTTTCCAAATCCACGTAGCCCAGCCCTGCAGCCTCAGGAGTTCCTCTCAAAGTATGCCACCGGTGTCCTCTCAAAGTATGCCTCAGGGGTCCTCTCAAAGTATGCCTCAGGTGTCTTCTCAAGGTATGCCGCAGGTGTCCTCTCAAAGTATGCCTCAGGAATCTTCTCAAAGTATGCCGCAGGTGTCTTCCTCAAGTATGCCGCAGGTGTCTACTCAAAGTATGCCACAGGTGTCCTCTCAGGGTATGCAGCAGGTGTCCTCACAGAGTGGGCTTCAGGGTCAAAGAATGTTGATGGATCTCCCGCCAGGAATCCCGACGGATGGTGTCCCCAATGGTCACGGCGGAGAACGTGATGGCGGTGAGGTGGCGCAGTCCTCAACAGGGACAGCAGGCGTGCCAGCTATGGGCTTTGTGTGCGTCAATGGGAGCTGGGCCCCTTACTATCTCGTGCAGGGCCAAATGGTGATTCATGATGCAGGGCTCTACGGGATCAACGTGGGAGTTCCAGGAAGAGGTCAGCAGACTGTGTTTGGGAACCAAGAACTGGGTGTTGTGCCCCCACCACCGCCGCCTCGTCCAAGGTCACCTGCCACGCCGGTTCGGAGGCCGGCAATGCCACTCCAGATCGGACTCCGGTGCCGCCACCTCCGCCTACACCTCTGCCTGCCACTATGGGATCTTCGGTTGGTGGGGGAGGAGGTGTGGAAGTAGAGGAGCCGAGCAAGTTGGTTACGAAGCTGCCCGTGTTGACTGCGATGAAAGGGACCGATGCCGCCGTGGTGGCCGGGGACTGGTTGGCACAGCTGGAGCCGAGTATGGCAAGCTTGAGCAGCACGGCAGCTGTCTGGTGGCATGACATGATGGCAAAGGTACGCGCTCTACCAGAGATGGCCCTGCGGTGGACAAGTACCAGAGGAGCAGCGGGCCTCAATGCTGTTGCTGGACAGCCTTCCGGAGGATCTCAAGGCCGAGGCGGTCTCAGTGCGAGCGGTGACGGTCGAGGCCATGGTGTTCCTTGTGCACTGCTCTTTCCAGCCAGGTGGCTCTGCGGAGAAGGCTTACTTGCTTCACTTCCTTACCTCGCCCGATGCCGGGAACACAGTGGATGCGGCGGTGGTGTCTATTAGGAAGTGGATTCGTCTTCTGCGGAAGGGAAAAGAGCTTCAGGTTGTACTACCCGATCCCAGCCTTCTTTGCAGGGGTTTGGACAAGCTACATGCTCAGGTCTTTGCCCAGAACAAGCACCCCAGTGCGGCCTTTCGGATCGCAAGCTTCAAACTGGATCGACAGTTGGACTACAAAGCCAAGGCCTCGGACGTGGAGGACTATGCGCAGCTGATTCTTGGGGAGTTGGAGGCGGCGATGCTTGCGCAGCCTATGGCCCCACCGCCAAAGTTGCAACGCATGGAGGTAGAAGGCCAGGAGCCTGCAAAGAGCAAGGGCAAAGGGAAGGTGAAGAAGCAGTGCTGGGGCTGGCAAGATGGATCAGGCTGTAAGTACGGGCAAAACTGTTTGTTTCAACATGATCCTTTCGGTCCTGGGCGATGCTGGTCCTGTGGTAGCAGCAGTCACCTCAAACCTCAGTGCCCGCTTCTCGGCCAAGGGGGGAATGGTACTTCGGTTCCAGCAGCTACGACGGGGGCGACTTCTCAAAATTCGATGCCTTCTTCTACAACAACCTCTTCGCTAGGAAAAGGTGAGGCATCTGACAAGCCTCCCAAGAAGGGGCGCAAGAAAGGGGAAAAGGGTAACGGAAAGGAGCCCCGTGGCCCAAAAGATGCAGTTCGCAAGGCCGAGGAGGAGAGTGCGCAGAACGAGGGGGTGGTGCGAACCCCGCGCCGGTGGCGGCAGCCACCGCAACAACGACCTCTACGGATTCGGCTAGAGAGGAGTTCTTTGAGGAGGCGGCTAAGGCCTTGAAGTCGCTGCGTTTGGCGAAAGCAACCTTGGAGAGGGTGGCCGCCATGGATCTCGAGGAAGAAAGGACGCTGGTGGACTCCGGCGCTACTACGTCGATGAGGTCGGCCAAGGCCCATGAACTTGAAGGACTTCCGAGCCGCAAAGTGTTGTTGGCGGAGGGCGAGGCGGTTTTCTACCAACTTCCAGGGGGGACCTTGCTTACGGAGCGAAAGACCTCGCCCATCCTCGCGATGAGTGATCTTATGGCCATCGGTTGTCGAGTGTCATGGAGCACTGGAGATGGCTGCAAAATCGTGCACCCAGTGCGGGGAGATCTCCAAGTGACTGTTGTGAACGGATGTCCAGAGCTGGAGGTGAAGTTGGGTTTGGACTTGATCGCCGAAGCAGAGTCTATGAAACTTCGTGGGCGTGAGGCCGAACTGGCTGTGAACAAGTTGGTTGAGTCGCGCAGCAAGAAGCCGGTGTTTGACTGGGAGCTTGGAGCCAAGGCGGTGAAGGACCTCCGCAATGGTGTTGGGGTGTCGTGGGCTTGGTTGTACAAGGCGTTTCCCGAGGCACCTTCATGGCTTCTTTCGGCTATTCCAGTGACGGCGTCTATGGAGGGTGCTAAGGTGCCATGGAATCGTCGCGAGCGGAAACGCTGGCAACAGGCGACGGCGATCGCCATTCATCTGTTCTGTGGAAAGGACAGAGCTTCGTGGATGTCAAGAGCCGAGGCAGCCCATGTGGTCACGGTGGACCAAGCCGAGGACATCATGGCGGATGATACCTACGTGGCGCTGCTGGAGTTGGCTCTATCTGGAAAGGTCAAAACGGTGTTTGGTGGCCCACCCTGCAGAACGTTCTCCGCACTTCGCAACTTGAGCCATGGAGACAACGGACCTCGACCGCTACGGGATCGCGAAGGTGATGGACGGTGGGGTCGTGGTGATCTTAGCGAATGGGAGACATGGAGGGTGCGACAGGACACAATCATGGTCTTTCGCATGTTGTTTCTGTGGATGGTGGCTGCAGCGGTGGCCAAGGGGAGGGGCGATCGTAGCCCGGACTTTATGTTGGAGCATCCTGAGGACCCGAATGAGTTCCTGAAGGAAGCTGGGAGAACTTCTCAATGGGCCCTTCCGGAGATGAAGGCAATGGTGTCTCTATTCTGAGGTTGAGTTCTTGAAGAGCAGCCTGGGGTGGCACTGGTGGCAGTTTGATCAAGGTCCTCTCGGGCATCCTCGCAGGAAGCCGACCAGGATAATGGCCTCCGTTCCGTGCCCTTCAGAGCTTCGTGGTGTACGTGGTCCTTCTACTGCGTCGGAGGAGGAAAAGGATCACGATGGGAGCGGGTTTCGCTCTGCTACCTGGGCGGCGTGGGCGCCGCGACTCAAGGAGGTGATCAAGTCTGAGGTGGAGGTGAGTTTGGCGGGAGCTACCTTGGAGCGCGTGATGAAGATGGACGCCAGCTTCCTGGAGCACCTTCGAAGGGATCACATTCCTTATCGGAGAGATTGTAGGGCTTGTTTGGCCGGATCGTTTCGCGGCCACATTCATCGGCGGGTGGTGGCCCCGGACGCTTGGTGTTTGTCGTTGGATGTGATTGGTCCAGCCCGCTAAGGCGATGATGAACGTCTAAAAAAGGTCAAGTACGGCTTGATTGCGACGCTGGCGGTGCCGCATGTGCTTGGCAAGCTTCTCCAGCCAGCGGAGCCCGGCGAGGAGGATGATGGAAGAGGAGTGGGACCAGTTGTGGATGAGGGTGACCCTTTGGAGGGCGATGAAGTGGGTCCCGAAGAGGATGCGGAGGAACCTTTGTCGGCTGCGGAGAAGCGGCGTAGTGACAAGGAGGAGGCCAAGTCAGAGGCTCTGGTTTCTAAGGAAAAGATCGAGGATGTGACCATGGTGGAGGTTCCCTTCTTTATGCCGCTGGGATCCAAAACGGCGGCGGAGGTGTTGATGGCCACCAAGGAGATTCTTCTACAAGTTCGTCGACTGGGTTTGGTGGTCAAGCGTGTGCACACGGACTGCGGAAGGGAGTTCGTTAACAAGGCGTTTCGAGCTCTATGTGCAGACCGGGGCTTGGTGCGCACCACGACGGGCGGCGACAACTTCCGCTCCAGTGGCCGTGTGGAAGCGCTGGTTGGGAGAGCCAAAAGTGCGGTGAGAACCCTGTTGAGTTCGTCAAAGATGGGACCGGAGGCTTGGGCTTTCGCGATGAGGCACTACACTGCCAGAGTACAATGGTCTGCGGTCACTCAGTTGGGCGGTCGCTATCCTCGTCTACCTCCTTTTGGAACCAAGGTCTTTGTCAAGAAGAGATCCTGGCAGATGCTCAAGGAGGAGTTCGTGGAGAAGGTGGCACCGGCCCGGATTCTGTGTCCATCCATGGATGTGGCGCGCGGTTTCTTGGTGAAGACGGAGGAGGAGCTACCTTACTACAATGGTGGCCGTGGAGAATGTGAAGGAGACCTCTGGTGAGTTTGAGGTGGATGCGGCACCTACAGTGGGTGTTCAGCCGGGGAAGCGTCATCGGATCAAAGGCAAGACCACACTGGCCATTGCAAAGTGCGAGGGGTTGCGCAAGCTGGATCAGCAGGAGGAGCATCTCATCCAGGATGAGGAGTGCGCTGAAATGCTCCTGGAAGCCCAGGACTTTTCCCCAGAGGCCATGGACGAGCTCCTGGGTGGCCTTTGGTTGGGTGATGCTATGCTCGCCAACCGACGAGGAAAGACCTTTGACTCAGGTTCGAAGGTTTCAGCGCATGTGGCTGGGATGTTTCGCCATGGAGGAATGGTGGGAGCTACCAACTTGGCTCGACAGCGTCCTGCCCTTACCAAGTATCTGGTCCTGGCCATGAAAGCACAACTCCCTCCGGGAACTACATTTACCACCCTTGCCCTCAACTTCAACACGCCCATGCAGTGTCACTGCGACACCAACAACAAGCCGGGTGAGAAGGCATTCCTCATGGGTTTCGGCAACTATGTGGGAGGAGCGTTGTGGTGCCATGAAAATTGTGCTTCCAATGAGGTCACGTGGAAAAAGGTCCAAGGCCGCTGGCTACCTGGTCGCACTCACAATGTCTACCACAGGGCGGTACCATTTGATCCCCGTCGACTACATCAACCCCAACAATGGCAAGGGAGGCGCATCACCCTGAGCGCCTATACCGTCAACTGTGATCGCCACTGCAATCCAGAACATCGTGCTCTACTACAAGAGTTGGGCTTTCCTCTTCCGCCTCTGGACGTTACGGCGTTGCCGCAAGGAGGAGGAGGTGAAGCGTTCGGGAAGAGTGTGGCGGGTTTTGCAAAAAGTTTGCGTCGGTCAAAGGGTGCATTGCGGATGATGGGCTGTTCGGCTTTCTCATGCAGCGGCTGTCGCGATGGCTTAGTTCCGGGGGAGGATCAGACCTTGGA